AATATTTTTAAATAAAAGAATTAAAATTTTGTCACTTTAATTAAAAATATATATAATTTAACTTTTTTTGAACCAATAAAAAATTTAAGAAATAAAAGAATAGTTATAAGACTGCTGCACTGACAGTTTAAACCCTTGACAAAAATGCCAAGAGTGTTGCTGTACTTCCATCGCGGCTAATGCCGCAAGTGTTATATAATTTAATTTTTAAATTAAAAAAATAATAAATTTTATATCTTAATTTGTATTTGAAGATGTTAGCCTTGAGACATTATCATTGCATCCGATGAAACAAATGTATCTTCTGAGATGGGCCCCGCAAATACGGCCCACTGTTTATTTGTTTGTCTTTAATTTTGCCTTTTAAGTTTTAACAAAGGCCAAAGGGATTGGTTGGTTTTTTCTTCTTTGCTTTCATTTTCGCCTATTCTGGATCTCTATAATCAGAAATAATTAATTTCTTTTTACCCTAATTATAGACTTTAAGTGCATGTGACATAGATGATGACCCAAAAAAAAAAGAAATACTATAGCATAATACAGATTAAATTAAATTCCCCCTTAATCTTCATAACAAATGTTTGATTAGTGTAATTTTTTTCTGAACGAGTTTATATTTGGAGAATATAAATTCAAACCTCGATCATTGGACCAAGAAGAAGCACCTTCCAACTCTATTTATGATCATTGAGTCACGAGACTCAAGTGTTATGTTTGATTACTATATTTATTTCAAATCAACTATAGATATTTATTATATTTGACTTTAGTATTTGATTGTTCTCGGCACTATGGTGGCCAGGGAATTGTTGTATGATTTTCTTTTGCTTTTACTTAATTTTGGTGTTACAAGTACCATTATTTAGAACTTATAAATGCTCAAATAGGGTACCTCTTTTTTAACCTATCAACATCTATATGCACCTCTACTAATTAATATAGTAGATGTTTTATACTTAATTGACTCACTTATATAAGACAGATATCCGTGTGCTAGTGTTATAAGTAGCTATATGTTAGCCTATAAAGCATATGTCATAAATTAAATTTGTTTTGAAAAAGAATCAAATAATGATTAGTAATTTAAATAAGGAGTAAGAATTCATTATTAATGAATATATCACATCTTTTGATGGTAAAATTGCACATTTACAAAACAAGGCATCTATATGAATTTACAGTAGAAAAATTGCACGTTTGTTGGTCTTTTAGCCTAGGTAAAAATCAGTTTTGATCATTCAGGTGGGAAAATGGCAATCTTTCTTTTCAAATTCTAACCAAGTTGGAATCCAAGAGTTATATACTAAAAAATAATGAATCTGATCAGCACTCGAGTATTTTCATTTGAAACTCTAAATGAATTGAGAGTATGTTTGATAAATTTTATAAGAGTTTTTTTTTTTTTTTGTATTATTTATGATTGATAAGTTTAAATTTTTATTGAATAAAAAATTTAAAAGTTACTTTTAAAAATAGAGAAAAGTGAGTAATAAGTAAGTAAAAATAAAATTTATAAGAAGCACAAATTTGAAATTTTTTATAATTTACTATTTAAAATCTTTTTAAGGTTAAAAAAATTAAAAAATATAAGTTTTTAAAAGAAAAATTTTAACTTATAAAATATGAATAGTATAAAAAATATAAAACTTTTATAAGTTTTACCAAACATGTCCTAAAAAAAAATTTACTGTTTAAAATTTTTTTAAAATTAAGAAAATTAATATAAGTTTTTAAGAGAAAAATTTTAATTTATAAAATATGAATAATATCAAAAATATAAAACTCTTATAAGTTTTACCAAACATGTCCTAAAAAAAAAAAAACACAATGAGCTGTGTTTTCGTGCTGGGTAATATAAGTGTGAAGGGAAAACAAGGGGGCAAAAAGAAAAGAAAAGAAAATGTTGGAGAAGACTTGGCAGTTGCTTGTAGGATTGGTCACAGCTCACAAACTGAAATTGCACGAGTACTCTTTGGTGTCCGTTAAGAATGTTGTTTTATATTGTTTGCAATTTGGAACTTTCCAGTTGTACCATCAAAAAGCTGTGTGTTGCCAAGTGGCTGCCATTCATGTAATTAACTGGCAGTTTTTGAGAAACATGTGTGCCAATTTCTTCAATCATGTTTTCACAACCTTGACTATCAAGACACGTAAATTCCATTTGATATCTACAAATCACCCATATTAGTTGTGTTTGTACTTAGTTGCATTAAGGACCCTTTCTATATATTTAATTTTAGTATAAATAATTCTAACAAGTTTTCTCAATCATTTTAAAGTAGAAGCTATCTTTACATATGA